CCCAGCAGATCCACGGTGCTGGGAGAAGAGAGCTGGCTCCGTGCTGGTATCTTGCAGGGGCAGGGAGGTCTCTACCAGCTCCCAGCCCCTCCAGCAAGTGAGATGCTGCCCTGACCTGTCTTGTCACCTCCACCCAGACCTCCTCTATGATTGGTCACTGTGCTGAACCTAGTGCTGCCCTGTGGAGACCTCCCCTTGCTGCCATCCCACAGCCCCAGGAGCTGAGACAAGGGCCCCCAGTGTCCCCATAGCACAGCACCCCCAGGTCACAGGCAGCTTACCCGCTTATGCCCAGGTTCTCGCCGGTGAACCAGCGCTGGGTCTCTGCCTTGGTTGCGATGCCAAGGTTGGCCAAAGCCTCCTGTCACCAGAAGAAACATCAGTGCAAGGGGCTGCAGTGCTCTTGTTGCTCCCTCTGGCAGCGCATCCCAACCTCCTCCCTCAGCATCACCCGCCTCACCCGCAGCTTCTCTGCCTCCAGCCGCATCTCCAGTGCTGCTCGCCCAGCCTGGCCCTGCTCCGCGGCCATCTGGTGGAAGAACCTCCGCCACTTGACCAGCACCTCTGAGAACTGCAGCTGTGGAGGGAGCCTGAGGTGACATCCAGCCAGAGCACCCCATCCTGCCACAGCTTTGCAAGGTCATACCCAGATGGGAAACCCTGACCCTACAGCAGGGCACCTTGGCCAAGCAGGGGCCAAGCCCAGCAGTACAGGACCCCCATACCCTCATGCTGGGACCTTTAAACTTCTGAGATCTTCATGTGTCTCCAAAAGTTGAGGCAGGGTCTTCAGGGTGGCCTTGGGCACACAGGGGACAGCCTGTGGATGTTCACTGCCCTCTGCTATTCATAAAGATGCCACTGCAGCAAGCCTGGCATCCTAAAGCACCTGCCCCACAGATGCATTACCCGTACCTTTGGCTCTGCCCCACCTCACCATGGTCAGAGCCCTGGCACTCACCAGGAACTGAGGTCTGCCCAGTGCTGTCAGCTTGATGGCTGAGAAGCCATCCTCAGAGCTGCCACCTGCATGGAGCCACAGAAGCAGAGCTGACCCGAGGCAGGGAGCTGAAGCACCACAGTACAGCAGTGGGCTGCAGGGTCCCTGCAGTCCCCAAGCACAGTGGGGCTCCTCAGGCCATGTGGAGCACTTACTTGAGGCATCGATGCAGCGGAGAAAGGTCTCCATGTGCTGGTCACACTTGGCCTCATCAGCATAGAAGTAAGTGCGGGCACTGATGACCCCACCGCGGCGGTCCCCAAAGCCTGGGTGGGCTCGGTATTGCTTCTCCCTTTGTTCTGCTCCTGAAGGGGAAAAGGATGGAGATGGGCCACGCAGCCCTGCTGAGCTCCTGCCAACCTCCAGGGGTTTCTGCTGTGGGTGCAGGGGAGAGGGGTTCTGCCTTGGACGTCGGCAAAGCCCCCGCAGGCTGCAGAGTGCCCGGCCTGCCCTGCTGCCCAAGCACAGGATGAGCCCCTGCTCATCTGGCCAAGAACCATGATGCTCCTCATCCAGCTCATGTTTTGAGGCTGCAGGAGCTGGGTCCTTCCCCCGTGGCAGTCCTGCTGTGCCCCATCAGCTGCGTCTTCAGGCTATCTCCTGTCAGCAGGAGATGCTGGGTCACTCACCTCCCATCTCCTTCTCGGCTGCAGAGGTGCAGGAGCTAAGAAGAGAAACAGGCAAGATAAGGGCGAGGTCAGCAACTCCCTGCAACCCTACACTGGTGGCCAGGGCAGCTCTGAGGCTCTCCTACTGCTGCCCTGGCACTGGACCTTGTGTTTCCCTCAGCATCCCGTCACCAATGGATCAAGTGCTGCTCAGCCTGAGCTCTACTGGCAGGTCAGATGCCACAAACTCATGGAAAGCAATGGGGTTTCACATTCCAGGCAAGTGTCACCTGGAGGCCCTGAGGCAGCACAGGGAGGATGCTCTGTTCCAGGGTCCAGAGCTGCTCTCAAACAGCCCACGCCATGGCAAAGACAGGTCAGCCCTGGTGGGGCCAAGGGCCCATCTCCAACCACAGCAGCCTGTGCACCTCACTGCAGTGGCACCAAGCTCAACCCAACACCTCTCACCTTACAGGCACCAGCAGCCAGACATGAAGCAGGGAGCTCCTCCAGATGCAGGGCACATCAGGCTGTGCATGCTGTGCTCCAGCTCAGCTGCCCCATGCTCCTCTCTGTGCTTTGGCAGTAGCCAGTCACTTAAACCACATCTCAGCTTCAACTCCAGCTGACCTCGGGTGTAATTTCAAGCCCAAGCTCTTTGCCACAGTGATAACAGGGCTCTGACAGCCTGGGGGATACTGGCCAAGTCACGAGATCCTCCTTGAGTGGCAAAGCCTTCTTGTTGACACCCTCATCCAGCCCACAGATCCCGGGTCTCAACCAGGAGCATTGCCAGTGCCTGGAAGGCAGCCCTGAGTGGCAGCAGAGCCATCTCCTTCAGGAGTTCTCTGCCTTGGAGTCACCATCCCAAAACTGCTTGTACCCAACAGTGAGAAAGAACACAGCAAGCAAAGCCACCCATCCGGAGCCAGACGACTTGCACAAGAGAGCAGAGAGGCACGTGACGTGGTCTCAGAACGTGTTCTCCCACATGGAAGCCCTGTGACAGGGATTAGGGGCTGCTGGAAGCATAAACAAGCAGAGACAAGCCCTTTCCTCCTGCTCCCTGGAGCCAGGAACAGCCCCACATCACTCAAAGCACAGCAAAGCCTGGTGTGAACTGGGGCACGGGCGGCCAGAGCTCGTGGGGAGCAGCAGGCACCGTGTCCAGCAGGCTCTGCTCCCTGGACTTGCTACCCTGAGGACAGGTAGAGAAGCTTTCTGCCCCTGCATGCAGAGGGTGGAGGAAGAGACAGTAAAGCCCATGGTGAATCATAAGACTGGTTTGTGTTGGAAAGGACCTTAAAGCTCCTCCAGCTCCAACC